CCGTCAACCCCTAGATGGTGCAGCACTGCAGCTGTCGAAATCCAGAACAATGTCACACGAGAAGGCCGTCGCCATGGACTCCGCCACCCCGATGTGCAGCCAGCGAAAGAAGTAATCATGCTTCGTCGGAGAGAGCGGATCGGGACGCTGAACGATAACCGTCACCGAGATGCTTGGGCAGCAGTTCAACTGGTCATGGAAGCGAACTAGCGCATGCATGGGAGCAGCAAAACAGCTCTTCGAATATTGCTCCGAGGGCCTCAACCGGAAGTCTGCGGTGCCCTCATGATGTCGTTGACCCCCGTCGGTCCCTGGACGGAGGAACCCGATCGCCCGCCCAGTCGCGAACGGTGCTGGGTCGTCGCAGGCCGGCGCGGAGGCTCGACAAAGTTGACACCCTGAGCAGCACGACTCACCTTTGCGGGCGCATCGCGATCTAAGAGGCTCGCGTAACAAAGTGCACGAAGTCGACAGGCCAAGCACTCCCGCAGTGGAGCAGATCAGCCGCTGCCGCCCGCTGGCCTGCCAATGGGCTCGCGCGTCCACTGGCTCCGCTGGCCGCCAGCGCGACTCGTCTTGGACTGGAGTCGTTTTGGGCACAGGGTCCTGGGGCACGTCCGGCTTGGAGCAAGCGTCGCGATGCGAAGCCGCTGCGAGGCTCGACTCAGCGAAGGCGCGGCGCCTCTGCCGGCGTGCGCTTGGCTCGTCAAGCGTCGAGGGTGCTCCCAGCGTTCAGTCTTCAGATGAGAGAGAGTGAGAGAACGACTCAGGGTCCCCCTGTGGTGTGCTCACCAGTGCTGGGCTGTGAGGGCGGACGCGGCTATTTTGGGAGCTCGACTGTACACACGCATGCACACAGCTGCACCCTCTTCGTACACGACAACCCTCCCAAGCTCCCTTCGCCAGCGCCGCTCCACCAGCCGGACCCAAGCCCGCACGCACGCCCACGCCGCCGCGGGACACCATCGCAGCAGCCTCGCGCATCTAGCAGCCCGCCAGTCCTCGGCGCGCGAGTGCCCCCCTCCGCAGCCAGTGGCCGCCCCCCTTCCCGTTCCAAGGCTCTGAGGGCGCCTCCGCCGCACCCGCATGCTCACTGCTTCTCCTGACCTCTCCCCATCCCATGCGCTGCTCCTCTCTCCTCCCCCTCACCGCTGCCCTCTGCGACCGGGTGCTGAGCTTCGCGAGGCGCCTTTCTTTCGTCTGACCCACTATCGTTTGCACAGTTGTGCCTTGCCCTCGCTCTGCCCTTCGTTCTTACAACAACACGCATTCGCATCCCGGTGCCCAGCCCGCACGCCCAGGGCTCCCTGATTGACAGCCGATCGCCAGTCGCTATCCCTCACACCCCAGCATTTCGCCTGCTGCGACTTCGCTGATCCAGTCTCGATAACAACGCTCCTTCGTCTCCTCCTTTCTGCAGACGTTCACCTTCGCTCTGCGCCCGCGTGGCCTCCGGCGCCCACCCTCCCCAGCACCGCGTCGTCTCATTATCGGCCTCCTCATAGCGCAAGACCTCCGTCTTCCACATCGCAGCAGTCTATTTCCGCATAGTATATACCATGGCGGAGCCACCCAAACCCGCGCCTCCCCAGGGCCCCGACGGCAAGTCGCGCTTGTCAAAGGCACAGCACGACGTCCTTGAGGCACACTTTGCACAGCAGAGCAAGCCTACTACCAATACGAAGAAGGCCATTGCGGAGCGAATGAATGTCTCTATAGACAAGATCAACGTCAGTACCGCCTATGCGCCGTTTCCTTCCAGCTTGCATGCCGTAGCTAATCCGTCACTCAGAACTGGTTCCAGAATAGAAGAGCAAAAGTTAAACAGGAATACAAAAGAGCGCAGAACGCCCATAACCAGGAGATGGGCATATATGGACCACGCCACCCCCAGTTGCCTAACGGGAACGTTCAATTTCCTGTGAACATGGACCCCCCGCCTGGGCAGCCCCAAATGCGCCCTCCCATGACGCAAGTTTATCCTCCGGCGATGAATGTCCCGACTGCGTCCTTGGCAGTACAAAACATCAGTCCTCCGCCCCCCGCAACGTATCCTGTGCAATTCCATGCGTCGCCATTCGATCATTCCCTTCGGCCTATCCCAGAGGCGAACCAGAGCGTCGCCTACAACTCCACGGCTCTGATGCACTCACTCCGGGCCGCCGCTCTCGGGCCTTCTTACGTCGACCCTCAGCAAGGCCCCGTTAACATGCAGGACTCTGCCAATATGCAGAGTGCTAGGTTTTCTTTGTACCAGGACGGTCTTGCACAGGACGGCCCGACCCAGTCCTTCCCGCATGATTTTGGGCTGTCAGTATCCCATGCGCCCGCAAATCAATCCGCGCAGTACAACGGAGAGTTCTCCTCGTATGGTTATACTGGAGCCTCTGGTCTTTCTCTTACTACCTCCCCCGAAGGGCAGAATAGCACTGCATCGGCATCGGCCGAGCAGTCGCCCTTCTCTGGTGTACCTTCCACCACCGCGAACTCGTCTTCCACTGGACCCGGGGCTTCGGCGATCGACGTCACTTCAGTTTTCGCAAATTACACAGACGAGCAAGATTCCAAGTTTATTCAGGCCACCGATAATGCAGATGCCTTCGATGCGACCTATGGCATAGGCTCGGAGACAACACCCAACGATTTCGGATACTACTGGGGACAGCAAATGCCTTCTTCAACGTTCAATCAGCAGACGGGAATGTATCAGCATTCCAATGCGTCCATAAACGGTCTTCCATTGATTCAAGGTGAAGATAGCAATGCCCACCTGGGTCAGCTCGAAGTCGATGCACCCCCTCACGACAAGAATGTGTACTCGCGTAGGAACTCTTCAACAACCAATCTGGCTTCCAACATCGAAGCGATCCACATCCAGAGCAGTACGCCTGAGCCTTTCACACAACCGAATCCGCCGTCTAGCATTGCGGCAAGACGACGACAACACCCGGCGGCATTGAACGCTAGTACCCTGAGGAGCGCGTCTTTCACAAGTGGCATGGCCTCACCAGGCAATGGTTCTGAACAAACTCTGCGACGAATCCGTTCCTCAGGGTTCGCGGGCGTCGGAGGCCGCATTCAAAAACCAAGCTCCGCACAGCGTTCACCCATGACAGCGTCCTTTGCAGAGGCTGCCGCCTCGCCCAAGTTTGCAAGTACGTTCTCGTCCGCCAGCACGAGCATCCTTGGTGCGCCTTGCAGTTTAGCCCCTCCAACTCCAATAACACCGAGCGAAGCAGTCGGTTTCTCTCAATGGCAGGGCAACGGTGTGACCAACGCGAACGTGGGTTTACCCGAACACAGCAGCCCTGATAATTATAGTGGGGTATTCTCGATGGACTCTGTTGGAACTCCATTCGTTACGTCCGGATCGCCCCCTTCGACGCCGGCAAACGCACTGGCCCTGCGCATGGCAGGAGACATCTACCGTGATACGCCCCCTCAATCGGCGCCTGCCACGCAGGCAGCATTTCCGCAGTCAATGTTTGCACGTCCTCCGACGCATATGCAGAGGAACTGGCCTCACTCATCATCAGACCTTACCATGGCTCAACCGAAACCCTCCCATGTCAGGCGCCCTTCGCTGCCTGAAGGGCACCCTACTATGATGCGCGGGAACCCCATGTTATACCCAGCGAACACGACGGGCATGTTCGGCGCCCCTTACGACCTGTCCTTCAATGGCATATCTCACAACGTTCCATTCGCGCCACCGGCCCAGGACCCTTTCGTACATGAGTACGGTGCTTCCGACTATACATTGCATCAGGGTGCAGGTCCAGAAGCCCATCACAATGGCCCGACTGGGGCACCGCAGAAGAGTTACGTTTTTGCCAACCAGGGGCCCGACGACTTTGTGAAGTGATGGATGTCTCTCCTCCTTCTTCATCGCCCCTTCTCGATCTATCCTTGCAAGCTCATTTCTTTTGTATATATCCACCTTGCATGTTGTCTTTGACACCTGAACTTCTACCGTTTTGCAGTTGATCCACATGTTTCTGCATGCACCACGGCAACTCGAATCCTTTGCTTCGGAGGTATTTCATATCGGATGCATTAAGTTTTGGCCCCGGGATCTTAATCTAATGCGGCATTTGATTGGCCTGGGATTGAACAAACGGCCTCTTTTTTTTTGGGCGACATACCTGCATTATCAGCGCACCGCTTTCACTTTTTTTCTATTTGGCATCTGCCTCATATCCTATTTCTACACCGCGAGCCGTATTGTCTAATATCGCCTCCGCGAATCTCCTTATGTATTCACCTGTCTTTCTGAGCTGTTAGGTCGGGGCATGTTCGGAACACATATATCGCGCGGGCGGCAACTGCATGCATGCATTGTGTACAAATGCCAACAAAGAGCTGGGAAAGGTAATTCGATTGCGCCATCTATCCATCCATTTTGGATTCTTGTATCTCCTGTAGATCCTTTTGTCTTCTGTACTGTATGCACGGCACGCACGACCGGCCAAAAAGCAGAAAAAGCGGCGGCCAGAGTCCGATACTTGCGAAAGAGCGATAATATATAATGAATTGCGATCTAAGTACTCTTTGCGTTTACTGTGTGTCTTTTGTGGGGTTTCTGGCGCTGTTGTTGCTCGAGATACCTCATGCACCGCTTCGGGAGAAGAAGCTATCCCAGTCAAAGGAGAGCAGAGAGGTGATGAATGTGAGATGGAGACTGCGGGTTGGGTTTGCTTGGATCGGTACAGTCTTGTGCGTGCATGGGAGATGCTTTGTCTATTCGAGTTATCGAGGAGTAAAGGCTGTTGTGACATCTGACAGCAGTGCCTAGTACATTTTGCGTGTGAGCGTCACTCTGGTTGCGATAAAAGGTGTATGAGGCTGCACGAGCGAAGTTCGACAGCACTAACTAAGAACAAGTAAAAAGACAAGAATCAGCAACGACGAAAAATTATCTATCATACATACATCACTGAATGTCTGCGTCGCATGTAACGAACGGTCGGTTTGAAGACCAAAAAGAAAAAAAAAGATGTTGACAGCAGCGAGATTCGAACTCGCGCCCGTGAAGACTACGGAGGATGCGGAGCTGAGCTCACTTGTCCTAAACGTAGCGCCTTAGACCACTCGGCCATGCTGCCTTGTATTCGATATGAATTTAACATGGCTAAATGAAATTATTATAGTCCGTAGGTTGTCGATTGTCAGAGTTGACGTATCTCGAACTGGTCAAGTACAACCCCATGCAACGTGGAATTTCAGGGATGAGCGCGCACGTTTCTTTCTTAGCGCGAATGCTGTCGTGTACATCTCCACACTTGTCGCGTTCATCATTTAGACCTCGATGTGCATGAGATAGGGACATTCGGGATGGCATTTGCATGGCACCCGTGGACTTCGCCATTCTCGGCCACAAGTCCTTGTGGCGCAGGAGAAAACATCCTGCGGCCGGTCCTATCATAGCCGTTTCTTCCATTACTTCATGGCGCTGCTTTCAAAGCCTCAAACATTAGAATGTCAAAAACATTTCAGTCATGTATGTGTATTTTGTTCCATAGGGCTACCACTGTCTTCATCGACCTAAGGTGATGGAAAGGGTCACAATAGGGGTGGGGGACAGTCTGCCCAAATTGAGGTTTTCCTACGTAAGACGCCACAACACCATAATCAAAAAAGTGAGCGTGCCATCCCGTAGATGATGTGGACCGTATTCTGGGCGAAAAGCCTCTGGAGAAAGTGAAACCTTGGGAACCGGGGCAGATACAAATTACCATCCGCTAGATGGAGAGATAAGAGCTGATTCTGGCTAGGCGGAATTGCTACCGGAGGAGCCGCGTTGAGTGAATCCTCCGATGTCAATGCCTGCCTGATTCCTGTTGCACTCTCTGATGTGAGGTGACGTTCATTGTTAGGGCCTCACCGGGTCTCGTTGTACCCGCGGACATGACTGCAAGTCTTTCATAATATGAGCCACTTCCATATCTTCCTGACTCAATTGCCTGTCGATCTGTGGGTGCTGTTGCAAGACTCCTGGATTAGGACGACCTGTATCAGATGGTCGTCCAGCGATTGTCGGTCCATCCGAAGACGAGCCAGCAGTTGACATCTGGGACTACCAAAATCAGCCGACAATCGATAGCGCTATGCTCGTAAGACATCACCTTACCTGCTCCAGAAAATCAACCCGCACCTGCAGGGTGTGACTGCGCTGCTTCTCGGTTTTCATCATATCCTCCAGCTTCTCCACGTATTCTTCCAGCTTGCGCAGATACGCGGCTCCCAATCCTCTTTCTAGGTCTTGATTGCGCACCTTCATGGCTTGCAATTCTCCTACCAGGGATTGAAAGCGCTCCTCCTTGTCTTGAATGCTCTTCTTCACGGCTTGTAAGTGCTCAACTGTCGCCACAAGTACTTCCCACTTCCACATTGTCCCACGGGTGCGTTTTTGGCACGCTGGAACCAATTTTTTAATGATTTCCAATGATCGGTCCTCACAAACCCTCCTGTCCTTTTCACTGATTCGGCGTCGCCCTTCTTGCTCAGCCTTGCGTCTAGTTTTGTGTTCTTCGTCGGTAATCCTGGATTCATCGACGTCGTCACCTTGACCGAGACCGTAAGGGTTCTCATCGAGCTTGCGTCTCTTGCGACGGGAGTCTGTGAGTTCTGCGCCGGAGACACTACCCTGATGTGGTGCTCTGAATGACGAAGAGACGTTGATGGGACCTCTCTGGTTGGTGTAGCTGTTGTTCTCAGGAGCGGCAGCACCATATCCGTGTACCCCAGAAGTGGATGGCAACGAGTGAGGAGGACCTCTGTAGGGCAGATCCGAGGCGGGGATCTCCGGAGCCATAATGCAAAAGATTGTATGCCGGAAGTATAGTGCACGATTAACACTACACAGTCAGCGTGTCCTCTTCTCGAAAGTATATCTACACTACCATTCCTAGTGAGATATTAGTAGCGATGGGCTCGTTGGTGACGCTGGCTGTCTCGTGTTGGTTGTTGTCTTGTGCTGGTCGTGCTAGGCGCAGGGTTCCGACGTGTGTGTGTCGTGGGAAAGCGCGACGCCCTTGAAGCGGACGGCAGAGTAGTCATGTCTAAGTAGAGTATGCGGTAACCGGTAGCCCGCAGAACGTTCTTTCCATGAGTAGACGTGCTTACGACAACGAGCAGAAGGTATGCATCCAAGGCAGCGACTATATGGTACTTAGTGGGGTTCTCCCCACCGTAGGGCATTTATCAGACTCCGGGACACCGTGGATGCCGTAGAAGCCAGTCCAAGCAGAAAAGCCTGAACCGATACTTTGAGTGCCTTACGAATACGCGCTTTCTTTGTAACATCTCAGCCAAATTAGGGAGACAGCAATCAGGCTTGAAAAGAAACCGGAGAGCGTTATAGTAAATTGAAACGCAGGTGAGTGAGCGTACTCGTTGCGGACCACGACGGACGGTGAGAAACGCCTCGAGGCCACGACCAACCAAAGAGCGGAGCCATCCCAGATGCCGCGAGTGCAGTGACAACAACTGAGTCCGTTTTGGAAATGGTGACGTGGCATGGTGCATACACGCCCCGAACTCTCCAATGATTTGTGGGGGTGGTGTGCCTGTTAATCCCGGGGAAAGGAACCGTTAATGACGGCGAGCAACCCGCGTGAGCTTATTTCGACCACCTCCCAAAATGACCCAACCATTTCAACACTAGACAATAGCTGGCACTCTTCCGAACTCTCCCTCTCCTTGAACGTGAGCAGCTAGGTGACTGAAGGAAAGAGAGCGCATGGAATGAAACGAACCTTGGAAAGTTACCCTAGATATAAGGTTGACATTGCGCGAGGGTACTTGGAGCCCGCAACATAGGGCAGGCACGCTACCTGCAGTCGAGGAGGCGGGCGTCCGACGTTCCCTCCGAGACCGAATAGTAATGTCACGAGATTATTCAAGTGCAAGTGATGTACTGCATGTGTAGGTCGTTGAGGGTCACACTCTGCACATGCGCAGGGGAAAAGGCTGAGAACAGAACTTTGTGGTGTATAACATACGATTACACTCCAAACCTTCCCATCCTCTGGTAACGCCACGCAGAAACGAAATTCAACACCACAGTCGGCAGGTACCATCTGCACCAGCACTAACACACCACGGCTCCCTCGGATGCCACACGACGTCCATGACTCCGAGTCGACTCTTGACCTGGTGGCCCTTGAGCACCTTCAGGGGCACAATCGTGGCATTCTCCATCAGGTCACCGACAACCTTGCCGTGGAAGATTTGCAAACTGCCATCATCACTGGCGTCCGCGAACAACGGCATGCCACCCTGATGGAACGCCACTGCACGAATGGCCTGCTGATGATAACGCAGCGTCTTGTATGGCTTCGTCGACAAATCCAGATCGTGCCAAAGTAGCCGCTTATCGTACGTGCCCACAATGAGGTTATCACCGCCAGGATGTACGTCGAAGGACGAAATCCACTTAGCACCCGGTTGCAGGATCTTGACCAGTTCTTGCTTCGCGAGGTCGTAGCTGCGGATTGAGTTCTTAGTGGCCACAAAGAAGATGGGCTTGGAAGGGTGGAACTGTGCGGATTGGGCAAGGCCCTTCAAACGCCGGAAGGGTAGCTGTGTGAGATGCTTCGACAAAGTGTGAATGGCGACAGCGCTGCTCTGACCCCGAGGAGACACAGTGGCAAAGTAGTCGCCTCTCCTGTGCCAGTGGATGACTTTGACTGCCGACCTGACAGTTGCCTGTACAAGGACGCCCTTGCCTTCTAACCGCGGGCCTGGACGGCTCCATCGTGCAGGTGGCTCCTTGGCTGCAATGCCGTTGGTGGAGGTAGAAGGCTTCGACGCTGCATAGCCCCAACCTGCATCGAGCACATCGCGGCTGCTCTGCTCGACGTCTGGGGAAAGGATGGCGAAGGGAACAACTAGGTAGATGTTCTCACCAGCGGCGGCAGCCAGAATAGCCGAGTCCTTGTTCGGCCTCCAGCGGACGGCATCGACGGCGTCTTCATCAGACAGCTTGGCATTCCACAACTGCCGTCCGGTGAGCAGCTCCCACACGCGCACGTAACCATCATCACCGCCACTTGCAACGAACAATCCCCGAGGATCTATCGAAACACTGCGCACGCGGCCTTCCTGACCCCTGAAGATGGCGGCGCAGGTCGTTGGGAAGGGTTTGAGTTCCTCGGGACTGGGTAGCTTGGGAAGCAGAGACTCGGGGTCAATGTTGAGCTTGTTCCGCCGCACACGGGGTGCGAGGTACAGGTCCAAACAGCGCTCAAACTTCTCCTTGACAAATCTCTCGTATCCAGGTACTTTGCGCAAAGCTTCGTGATCTCGAGGCAGATACTCCTTTTCTCTGTCCTCCTCATCGGCTTGTTCCCAGGCGGCTTTCTCAGCTGGATCGGGCAAATACTCGGGCGGCGGGTGATAGCTCTGGTCGTATCCGGGCGGCGGCAGCTTGGGCGCGGGAATGTGCATACTATGCTCGGGGCGCGGGGTTTCGTCAGCCCAAAGATCGTAGTGGGGCAGTTCCAGCTCCTCCTCTTCGTCCTCAGGAGGTGGTTTGTAAGGCTGGATGCGACCCTCCCTGATTGCCTTCACAATCTTCATCACACGCTTCGCCTCATGTTTTGAAGGCACAAATCGTCGTTTCGGCTCCGGTGCCGCGCTCAACGGCATCACCTCCAGTTTTCCGGAGAAGTAGTGCACCATTTCGGGATAGGGGTTGTAGCCCTCCTCGACCACCTCATTGCGCGTCAGCTTCTTGAGAACGTCCAGCTCTTCTTCGCTCAACTCCAGCGGCTTGCCCGTAGCTGGATCCGTGAGGCCTGTCCAGCCCTTGGGGATATCGATGCTGTCAAGCAGCGCATCCAAAGCCTCGCCCTTTGCGGGCCGCATGATTTTCTTCCCGTTGATATCATAGCCAATGTGCGGGTACGCATCGTAGTAGGTTAAGGGTATGTTTCCGATTGTGTTCGTCGTCTCGGGCGCGTCGGAATCATCCGAATCGTACACGGGCTCGATCTCTTTGTAGATGTAGCGAGGATTGCCATTCGCGTCGGTGGTGACGGTATAGTTGCGCCCGCTGTCTTCCTCGTCCTCTAAGCCGTCCTCAGCATTGCCATTCCAGCTC